TCCTAAGGCGCCCACGAAGGTGTGCTTTTTTGCATGGCTAGCGGCGAGGAGAGTGATCTTGACTGCTGAAAATCTGCGAAAGAGTAGGAATTACGCTTGTTAGTTGGTGCTACATGCGTAAAAGCTCAGGGGAAGAAGTTGATCATCTTATTGCATTGCCCTGTGTCCTCAGGTTTGTGGAGGGCAATCCTGAATCTTTTTGGTGTTCAATGGGTGATGCCAAGCATTGTAAAGGAAATGTTATATAGCTGGGCCGGTTTCCGTAGAAGAAGCAAGCAAAAGGCGTGGAAGTTCGCCCCGTTAGCTCTCATGTGGATAGTTTGGGGGGAGAGAAATAGGAGAGCTTTTGAGGGGATTGCGTCTCCTTTTTCACATCTTAAGAATAGTCTTTTATCTTTGATCGCTTTTTGGTGCACTCATATAGCCCCTACTTGTGTAGAAGATTGGGCGTTTTTTGTAGAGAATCATGTTTTGATGTAAATTCTCTACTTTTTGGTATACTTTTTGTATACGGGAGTTTTTTCTCCTTTTTGATTAATACAATTTACCTTATAAAAAAAAATGGCATCTAAATTTGGTATGATGCCAAAAAATGCCCTTCATTTAAGGGTGAAGTGCTGAAGAGGTGGGTATAAGACAAGATATGTGGGAGGGAAAGGGTGAAGTGCTGGGAGCCTGGGAGGGTTGTGAGGCTAGAGCTTGTCAAGTGAAAGTGGTTGCTCTGAAGATGGGAGTGGGAGACTAAATATGCTGGGAAAAGGGGAAAGGGAGTGATCCAGTTAAAATGAGCCGGTTGAATTAACTGTTAATCAGCTAAAGTTTGAAAAACAGCCCTTTCATCTTCTTTTTATTTATACAAATCAGGATAATTTTATTGCCATTGTTGCATCAGGCTGCTGCCAAATATATGTACAAAATGATCTATCAACATAGTAACAACCTTTTTCTCTTACTCTCCACCATATGTTATTGGGGTAATATAATCGGATTGGAGGGTTAATTTGGAGATAAAGTTGAAAATTTCAAAACAATTTAGCCATTTAAGGTCCTAACTAATAACATAGTAAACTAAAGGGGAGATCCATGATATTTTGTTAAACTTGAGCAGAAGTCTAAGTAATTTACCATAAGTTTTTAACTTTTTATAAACATTGGAATATTAGTAGAAAACTTACTTTAGATTCTTGACCAGGCGGTTGCTTAAGCGGCAATGTATCCTTGAATTTTCTGAAAGTACCTAGAAAGTCACAGCAAACTTGTCACCTCTAGGACCCATCCCAGGAAGAAAAGACATAGAGCATGGGACGCCACCCCAGGAGCCATCATGATTCATGTGGTTCTTGTGGAAAGAGAGAAATATCAGAGCTTTTAAGGGGACACAAAATAAGTTCTGGTATAGCCTTTTATACTTAGTTTCTGGCACCCATGAAATCCATGTTTGCTTACAAGATTGAATGTCATTTGTAGAAAGCCGTATTATCATGTAGGGTATCTATATTTTGGTGCACGACTTATATGCTCGAGTAATTCCACATTTATAAAAAAAAAAATTACTTTATCAAAGAAAAAAGATATTTGCTAGCATATGGCAGCATTTGGTCCTCCAATGAAATCATGTTAATTTAGCGACTGAAAACATACTATAATCCATCGCGAAACTGTCATTTGAATGTATTTTCTTCTACAAATGGAAAAAAAAGAATTAGTCATACGGCTACTTCTTTGCATCTTCAAATAGACTGAACATGCCTCCATTTTAACTTCATGGACCATGCAGTTGGATATTAAGACATAAGTCAACCAGTCAAAAATTACAAGAGTATCATTTGTAGGTTAGGAACGTGATTAATTAGATAAAACTTGCACCTAACGTAATAGCAAAACAAAAGATGTTTGATTGGACAAACAAATCTTGCTACAAAATCTATATCCTTTTTTTTTTGGAACGGGTAAAGTGTGCTCTAATATATATAATCATTTGTACCGTGTGGCTCCTTCCTGGTTAAACCATAATAGGTAACTTGTCATGTAAAATTAGAAAGATGTCCATAGTGACTTACGTCAGAAAAATGGAGGAAAACCAAAGATCTAAAGAGTATGAGTGTTCTACAGTCATCTTAGAACCACAAGGGCAAGAAACTGAAGCAAATTCAGGAAGATCCAAAGGCTCTACTTCTCAGGGAATTATTTTTCAAATTATGTCATCCACTAATAAACCCTAATTGCCGGGAAACAAATTGAGGATTAAATTGACTTGAAGAGGCATTGTATTCGAGCCAAGGATAAATAAAATTAGAGAAGACATTTTATAAAGCAAATATGCCAAGTGAAACTCGTCAGCATTTACCGCCAAGTTTCCCATAAGCCTCTTCAGAGATAGTGTACTTTTCCACAAGTGATGTGTCCTCAAGCCAACCTCCAGAAGTCACTGATGATGGATCAAGATCAATAACATGCAGGCGATAACTGCAAAGGCAGACTGGTTAATCCAAATACATATCTCTGTATTAGTTCAAGTTCTTTCTGCACAAAATGCAGACAGGACATGATTTCAATACATAATACAGAGAGTTCATTGTCTAGAAAAGGACAATTAAAATATACTAGGTCTTCGGACAAAAAGAATTTTACTAACCCGTCCAATGGGGAATAAAAACCAAGTGGTCTTGCATTATCACTTAGGACTGAGATTTTAGCACCAGTTTCATCATAGAGCTCTAGGGACATTGAATTGACGGAAGTACCACACTTTTTCCAAAGCTTCTCTTTAACGGCTTCCACTGTCATCTGAAAACAAAGAGACAATGGACTGTAATGCACCGCACAAGTACATTCAAAATGAATTACGAGCCTCAATCGTTACTTCTATTATATCAAAGATGAGCCATTTGAAAGTCTAACTAATAAACTCATCGAGAACAGATGTAAAGCCGATTATATGTCTTTGCAGATTTAAAATTTAAGTTCCAATTATATAATTGATCTAATTATAGTAATAGTGGAACCTGCATAACTGATACTACCACTAAGCAAAGGTAAGAAACTTGCGAGTACCTGAAGAGAAAACCGGATTTCAGGGGAAAAGCTCTTAATATTGGAGTGAGTGACCCGTACAAGTACGGATTCATCTCCTTCAATCTGTAACCGAGATCCCATTATCCTTCTATCTGTAACGAGAGTAAAGCTTACAGGTGAAAATCAGATAGACCAAAAGTACACAAACCAACCACATCTATTAGAAAACATCAGAAACCCGATTATTACCTGAAAACTGCCGTTAGAATGCTGATTTTAGCACTCTCCACAGCACCCAAAGAGGTCTGCAGAGAGAGAAAGCGAGTGAGGGGGAACACTGATTTTGGAAAGAGAAAATCAAGGAATATGAAAAAGGAGAAATCTTTAGAGTCTCTAATTTTTGTTTTTCCTATTTATTTCCTTTTGTTTTTCTGTGATGTGGGACAGAAAAATAGCATGATCATTTAGGGCACAAAAAGAAAAAGGAATTAGTGTAACGTGGAGAAGCTAGTACGAGTAGTATTTAATTTTTGATAATTATCTTTTATTTAAACTAAACAAATACAGTATTAAACTGTGAATTTATGAGACAGTGCTTTCCTTAGACCTTTTGAGAAAAAAGAGCTTTCTAAACCGAACGGCGTTATTAACCTAGAACTAGAAGTGGATGTTCTGCTTGTGTAGACATCATAGAGTTCCCAGTTTGATTTCCAAGTTTAGGACTACGACAATTGCCTCAGTACCTCGTATAACAACAGGAAGCGGCGTTAGCGTTACCAGCAACTGTTCCCGAGGAGAAACAAAACCGCCGCCGTCAACCCAGATGAAGAGACCCGCAGTTCTTTACCATTACCCCTGCCCCGATGGAGCTTTTGCTGCTTTGGCCGCTCACCTTTATTTTTCTTCCATACACATAACTCCTCTTTACTTCCCAAACACCGTTTACTCTCCTCTCAGGTAGATAGATATCTCTCTTTGTTTCTTTGCACATTCCCTTTTAAGTCACTGTTAAAGGGTTATTTTTGTTTTCTAACCATCTTTTTATTTATAGGGCGGAAGACCTTCCTCTAAATGAAATTGATCATGTTTACCTCTTGGATTTTGTGGGTCCATCTGGTTTTGTTCCCCAACTCCACTCTAAAGTTGACTGGTAAGTCTTTTGTCTTCTCAGTTTTCTATATTTCAGCATGTGGGATTTATGTTTACTAATGCCTTCATAAATGTTTGAACACGGTTGCAGTGGCAGTTTTTTTCAAAATCAACTATCTGATTTTTCTGTGGTTAAAGTTCATTTTTTGGGCAAAAATGTTTGTATTTCTGTATGTATTCGAGAAATTAATGGAATCACAGTTTCTATGCTCATTGCTTTTTTTCTTTTTCCTTTTATTTGGTATGCAGTGTTGTTGTATTAGACCATCACAAGACTGCACGAGAGCTGTTAGGTGGAGGGACATATGTGAGTGAAAATTTGATTAAAGTGATCGACATGGGTAGAAGTGGGGCTACGATTGCTTATGATTATTTCAAGGAGAAGCTCATAAATGGGGGGGACAATAACAGAGCTGCCGATGGCAATGCACTAAAGATTGGTGAATTTGACAGAGTGAGGAGATTATTCGAATATATAGAGGACAGAGATTTGTGGAGATGGAAACTTCCAGACAGTAAAGCATTCAGCAGCGGCTTGGATGATCGTAATATTGAATATGATGTCAATTTGAACCCCTCCTTGTTTCAACAGGTTGTTCCTACTGGCTGTGTTATTTTCTAATGAGCAACTGTTTTGTTATTGAAGTGGTTATAAACCCAACTAATTGAGAGTCCTATTGAAGTGCAAATGATAATTAAAGTGTCGATTTCGTGGCTGATGTATTCATGCACACAGAATATACCCGTGGTTGAATAGGTTTTCTTAATAAAGAAGTGTTAGTTATATCACATGCCAGAATTAGATCCACTTGAAGTAAGGAACTGATGCAGCAACTCAGTATAGCTCCGACCCTTTTTGCTTCCGTAAATAACTGAGAGGCTTAGAAGTTTGGGGAAATTGGTGATGTTCTTTGGCACAAAGTCCAGCAGATTCGTTGAATTTTTGAATCCTGGTTACATGCACCAATTTCATATACTTGAACATAATCAAAGCAGTTTTCTATTGCCCAAATTTGTGTCTTGCAGGCTGTTCCCTACTCTAATGATTTCCTTTCCTGCAGTTGCTTGCTTTGAATCTAAAATCTGTTATTGAGCAAGGAAAGATAAGTTTGTCCCACAAGCAGAAACGAATTGATGAGGTCCTTGAGAAGTCATTTGAGATAGCACTTGGAGCTGGAACATTTGGTTGTTGCCTGGTAAAGATCCAAGACTTGTTCATCTCGTGACCATGGAGGTTTTTTGTAATGAACTTTTGGTTGTTAAATAGGCAATATGCCATCATATGCATTTAATTAGCACGAACACATTCTAGGCTTTATGGCTTGCTCTTCACACATGGATAAACAAATGACTTTGTGCTAACTCCCAATGCTCACGGAAAATCTATTGATTGCTGAAGGACTCACACCGGGTTTTGAATCCTTCTGAAGAATGATGAATGCACAAATGCAAGCGAGTATTTATTTTTTGATTGTTAAAAGCGAGTATTGTTATTCTTATAACCCATGATACGCCTTTCATGGCTTTAGAGCTTGTGAGATCATCTTAATAGTACTAGATCACTTTTTGGAAGTTGTCAATGAGCCAAAGACTAAGTTGCTGCCATCACTTGTATCCCGATGCTCTTTCAATGATATTATCTTACTTCATNAAAGTGCAAATAAAGCGTGGGCTTTAATGAAAAAAGGCGCAACGGGAGAAAAAGTAAAAATATGTATATGTATTCCAAGACTAATAATTATAAGCATGAATAACAAATATTACTGGGTTGTTGTTGTTGTTGTTGTTGTTAAATAACAAATATATGGACAAAGAAATTTAAAAAAATTACGATAAAGTGAAATATCAAATGTTTAATGTCGCATTTTCAGGATTATACTCATTGACAAGGAAAAGTATGCCTTAGAGCCTTGATGCGACATTAAAGTGCCCACAAAGCGAGGCGAAGCGCGCAACATGTTTTGAGCCTCGCTTCACGGCTTAAGCGCGCCTTTGACAACACTGTTCTACATCTGAATATCTTGGGATGTACTTAATGACTATTTCTTTTTGAGGAGGGTGAATGAAAAATTGAACAGCGTATAACGTGTTGCCCTCCAAATTTTCAAGCTTCTACGATATAGGTTATGTGTCTGTTACTTCTTGTTTTCATATGAGAACAACTCTTTCAGGAGTCGACTCTTCAAGCTGTGTTAGAAGCTTAGCAAAATAACTAGCCAGAGATCTTTTGTTTTATGGTCAGTGTTTCTTTACCTTTCACAGGCTCTAACCTGCTCTTTCCCAATCTTACTCTTGGCTGACATGAACTAGTTGCCAAAGTCACGTCAGTCAAATGATTAGGCTGGTTCCTCTTGTATGACTGGTCATTGAGATTTCTTTTGTTTATCATGCAAAGGCTGTTCTTTAGGATTTTACGGATCATATGAGATTGAGCTATTGAAGTATTAAAGTCGTAGGGAACCATATCCTTTAGCAGCTATTATTCTACTAGTGATCCTCTTAGTTATCTTGATTGCAGAAGAAAACACAAAGAAGTACAACAACTTGCGGAAAATTGTCTGGCTACTTAATTTTGATTTGAGGAGGCAATGAAAGCACTGTTTAATATTGTAGAAGGTCGGAAGGAAAGTGTCTTAGCTGATTAGGCATAATACAAAGGATGTAGGCAAGTCGTGTGTGGAATTGCCGAAGTGAAGGATAATTTTCTGAAAAGGGACATGTTTTTTGATAAACCCCCCTCCCTGTCTGTGCTATATGGAGCTCGAGCAGGGCATTCACTTTGTTGTTTCTGATATGTTGCTTTTTTGTTTTGGTTTGGCTGTTTCGACTTCTAGGTTTTGCTTCTATTGGCTCATTTGTGATAGATTTTGACTTATTCAAAGGGGGCCAAAAACTAAAGAAAAAAGAGGAATACAACAGTTATGTTAACCAGTTATATGTCCAATAATGACCCCTGCCACTTTAGGCACAAATTCTGTAAAACTCAGCCTCTTTTAAGAAAAAAAATATCAATTTTCTACTGCGGAACTGCTTTTAACCATATTTAGAGCAAGAAGACAAGGTAATATTGGAAGTGTTTATATTCTTTCTTTTCTCCGTTTTCACTTTAACATATCTCTTAAATACATCCTTATTTTCTTGCTCCTTTAAGAGCCTTTTCTTTAAATTTGTAAAATATCACCCTCCCTCCTTTCCACGTGTCTAATCCCCTCTCAGGGCATTTAAGAGACTATATAATCTTACCAGTCATAAGCATTCAGGTGGATACATATGCAAAAGATATACATAGGTAATATCAGATGGGAACTAGAAAGTCAACTCCTTATAAACTTTTTGAGGTTTGGCTGCAGAATATAGGAATTGAAAGCCAAAGATATCTGTATTTTACTCTCTAAGTTAATTATATATCCTCCCAGTACCTTTTATTTCTCTGGATTAAGGATAAGCAAGCTCACCATACACAATAGCATAAAATCTATCTGATTTTGTGAGATTGCTGCAATCTCTTAGTTTATACCAGAAATCAGATTATAATGTTGGAGAGGTGATTTGCAGTGTCAAACCATTCAAGGTTCAATGTAGTAGTTCTGACATTTCTTTGAATATTCTTTGCGTCATTTAACCTGCCAATGGAATTCCTGACTAATGTTCATTTCATATTAGAGACCTCAATTGTAAAGTGGCCTTGGGCTGCCTGGCAAGCTACTACCACTCTTTTTGTTTAAAGTGTACCCACAGAAATGTGCACATGTACATTTTCCCGAGTGATATGAGAAGTTGTTATCATTTACTGCACAAAGGTCTACGAGACGAACAATGTGCTAAATCATCAAGGGCAGGGAAAAAGTGCAATATATTCCCCGCGCAAAGCTAGAAAACATGCTATGTTGCTTGCTGAGGTTTTCCCTAAAAATAGTTCTTCTGTACATTTTGTGCGATCTATTGGCTCATTGATAATTGTGTGCTTCACTTAGAGCAAACACAGGCAGGAGATTGAGTTAATCTGTTAGAAATAATATAAGGTCTGTAGTAATCATGTGAGGTTGCTGTTTTATGTCTTATAATCATCATACTTAATGTCAGTCACGTAATATAAGGTTTGTAGTTGAGTAGATTAAATTCTAGATTGCCTTTATTTACCCCTGGAAACTCCTGTTTTGTGTTTATCCCACTCATGTCAAGAATTCCTAAAGTGTCATTCATTCTTCTATCAAGTGGAAGTTGAATCTTAATGTGTCATTTCTCCCTAGTGGTGTCCTGATTATTGAAAGCTCCTGCCTGTTTAAGGTATGTGAATTTAACAATTCAAAGGTGTGCATGGGGATGAAGTCATTTATTTATCTAATTCATTCGAGGGTATGGATATCAGTGTCTATTATTTGGACGCTGTTTATGTCTCCAATTTTATAAGATGTCCCCGAAGGACTATGGAGGCTGCTTATCTGCGAATGCTCAATGGCTCAATAAACTACTTTATATGTATCTGGTGCCTTGGAAGAAATGAATGAATATGCCCGGTGTTTGTGGCTGACGAAAAAAAACTTTTCAAGTGTACGTTAAAAGATATAATTCCTTAGCAACAAGCAAGCTATGCTTTCCCTGATACATGAATTCTTTCTAAGGGTGCTCCTCTAATTTCACTTAATACTAATATACCTTATTTTGGGCACAATGCTTAAACTCAGAAATTATCAGCAACCAGATGTTATGGTTTGGTGCAATATTTACTATAGACTAGATTTTTAAATTATTTACGTATTGCTCTGATGATTTGAGTGACAAGATGATTCAATCTGTTTCTGCAGGCAGTTAATGCAGATTCTTTGTCCGAGTTAAGAAGTGAGCTTGGGAACCAGTTGGCTGTTAGAAGTCGTAATATGAAGTTGAGGTTTGTACTTCCCAGCTTCTTGTATGCATTGCTCATGATATAAGTTTGACATAAAGGTTAATATTATTTATTGCTGATCTTATAGTTGAAGCAAGCACTTTTGATTTCATGAACATGCTTTATTCAAAGAAATTGTGATGTAAATGCACTTTCAATTTTTTGAAGTATATGATCACCTTATCGAAAAGCTTAAGTTGGTAAAAGGATGATACCTTTATTTATTTAATTATGTCTTAACATGCTTCTAACATGAAGCTTGATTTTTTTTCCTTGGGTCAAGGACGTGGAAATGCTTTTTGATAGTTGGTAGTGGTGAAACTTGAATCAAGGATCTCTACCTGCTCAACTACCATGTTGAAGTACGTGATGACCTCATTTAGAAGATAAATTGGTTGGATAGAGGACACATTTAGTTATGTGTTAAGTTCTTAACAGCTTATAATAGTCTAAAGCGATGAAAAAGACGGCTTTTTGCATGTCGAAGTTGCAAATTTGTTTTGCTAATGGCACTCATTTCATTTATAGGTTGGAAGTTGGATCAATGGGGTTTGTGTCAGAAAACTATAAGGCATTTACCTTGAAAAGTAGATTTCAGGTGGCTACTTCAAATATACTTATAATCTGAACCCAGATTGCTACTTGCATTTTTTCTGTTTCTGTTTTTGTAATTTTTGATAGGTTGGCTGTTGAAAGATCTAAATGAGCTGACATTGTGTATTAGGCAAATGAAGAGTTCACATGACATAATAAGCAGAACTTGGTATATTAGAGAGTACAAAGCAGTGTGGTGTTACTCTCTTGGCATACGATGATTGTGTTGGTCAGTGTTTACAATTTTTTGCATTTGGCCCAGTTCATTCATAGAAATTCGTATCGACGTGACTTATTCTGGCATAGTTTATTAAAGAATTTATATATAACAGAAGGCTGAATAGATCTGTTTTGACTTGCATAAAGTTGAGGACTTGCTGAAAAAAGTTGAAAGAGCAGCAATTTGAGTATTTTGACCCCAAAGATGTTCACAGATCAGTAGATTTGGTTCCGATTTACATGTAGTTGAGGACTTGCTTAAGAAAGTTGAGAGAGCAGCTGTTTCGAGTTTTTTGTCAGACAATAAGCTGTTAAAAATATTGGAGGGTTTATGCAAAATATAGAATTGGACAGTTCAAAGAAAGTTGGCTGAATATTATGTTCTAGGGATAGTGAGAAAATGAAAGAATGAGTTGATGCTGTTGAGTAAGCATGCTGCAAGTTGTCTTTGCTGGAGGTCCTAGAATGCTGTAATTTTGGGAGATGGTCAGGAACAGTGTGGACTTCTGTATGAATCTTGTCTTAATGTGCAGGAGAATAGCAGAAGGGAGGTTACAAGAACTATAACAGAAAAAAAAAAGGGTCTTCATTAGTTCTAACTTTTAAAAAAATTATTCTTCATTACCACTGCAGCTAATACCTCCAATGCAACAGTAAACTTGTTCTTTGTGTCATATAAAAACCAAGACTTGATTACTGAATATATATGGTATAGGGTGAGTGACAAACTGACTCAATGTCGCTCGGTCATATAGCCCAAAAAAAGTGGATGATCATGATATGATGATGAAAGAAGAAATTGGTGAATAAAAAAGAAGATAACTTTTTATCCTTTCGTGAAAAATAATGATAACTTGAACTAATTTTAAAGAAAAATAGTCATGGTTTCTTCTTGAACCATACTTTTGAATTTCGATAATCATATCATTTCACGAAGCTTCAAAATCAAGCTAGCAATGATCATTAATCTTATTTAATTAATTGCTGAATGATGCTTGTAGAAATAATACTTCATTGTTCTCGTGGGCTGTATGTCAGGGGGATTGGAGCTGTTGTTTATAAGGTACCGGAGCTTGAAAATGATCAAATGTTAAAAGTTAGTCTGAGGAGCATTGGTGATGAGGATACGACATCTATCTCTCAGGTTCTTAGGGTCTTCTTGCTTTGTTTACTTTTCTTATCTTTCAATGAGTAATAAAATATAGTTTGTCGTAATATATAATGTATTTCTTGGGATTTCGCAGGCATTTGGTGGTGGTGGGCATCGAAATGCCAGTTCGTTTATGTTAAACTCAGCTGAGTTTGAGAATTGGAAGGTTTCAAATAGAACTTCGACATAGGTGAAATATTACCCTGAATGTTTTGAAATGCCAGATCTAATTGATGTTTGACCCTTGGTCTTGGCTATTTACTGTCTGGCAACTAGGTCTTAGGAAATGCTAACAGTCAAAACTGAATAATCCAGAGCCTACCCATGCTGCACTTTTTTTCCATATGTGCACATGATCCCTACTTGCTATCTGCATACATCTTTTGTCCCATGACAACAGAAGTAGCATAATCTCTTGGCAGCAAATGCAGTCGGGATTTATAGGATTGCTTGTTCATTCTAGAGCTAGACTTCAAACCTTCTACTAGTGTCAGTCTTAGAGTCAAAGGTGGTCAATATAGCTCTATGTTTTATGTAAAAACTTTACCAGTGTGACGTGCTGTGACAACCTCCCTGATCTAAAAGAATGTGGAGCACTTGCTATGCTATTTACTGCTGATGAATTGGAATTAGTTGAATTCTGGAGAATCATCCTTTTGTGTAGTGGGATCTACTTTTGCAAGGCATGCAGTGGTCCAGTCTCTGGTGGTTTTCTTTTGGACAAAAATGGACAATTTTATTGATTTCAGATGATAAAACACAGAGAAACTAAGAATGCCGAGCATCTTCTCACGTCTAGGTAGTGCTGATTGGTGCTCTTTCGGCAATAACTTTCTTTTAGTAGTTGGATTGCATTTCAGTATGAACCTTTATTTGCTTCCGCGTGAAATATTGGAATACAGCATCCATATTGTCACGAACATCTATTGTTTTATGGTTGGCGCAACTTTTCCAATTACATAGCTGTTTTTGCTAATACTGAAATTCCATTATCACATTGATTCTATAATCTGAAATATGTTTAAGGATTGTCACATCCAGGTCAGGAGTCTCGTTGAGGAAATATGGTCTATAGACATTGACGCATTTTCCATTTTCCATATAGCCTCTGGCCCATCATTAAGCTAGACTGTGCTATAAAATTAGGCCCCTACCAATTTATCGACATCGGTTCAAGTATAGTAGAAACAAGAAAGGCGAAAAAGAGATGATGCTCATTACAAATGTGTATAGAGTAATTGCTGATTGCGATATTTAGATAGTGGCTATCGACAACCTAATATTACCTTATGGTAGTCAAATTTCCATACAATTTGTGTACTGCTCTCAGAAGAATTGGAAAAAGAAGAACGAAATAAGAAGAAGAAAACAGAAAATAACAACCCATTACCCTTTATTTCACAAGTATAACACCATGACAGCCTCAAGAAAGAGGCCAAAATCTGAACCTGTAAAGCCACAAGATAAACTGGCCGGCTGTATAGATATATAATTTAAAAACCCCTAAATACAATTAGTGAAATCATTGTCCATAATCAAGATAAACAAAAGTTACAAACTTTATCAAATAATATGGATTATTAAGAAGAATTATATGTCATCGGTCACAGAAAGCTCGTGTTTAGTTTGTGAAAGCAAGTGGAGAGATCTCTTCGCCTTGAAAGGGAGAGTTGGAAGAACACCATGCATCTTCTGTAATGAACTGCATCCAAGAATCATCCTTTTCTTCTTCTTCTTCTTCCATACAGGAAGATGATGCTAATGGTACATCAGGCGATGTCGTTTCGTACTCATGAACATTAATGCTTTGGGTTAATGGGTACTCAAATGATGGTACAGTACTAGGTTGGCCTAGCTCTTCTATTTCAGAACAAACACCATTTTTCTTGAAAACACGACACAATGCATATGAATCCTGCTCGCATAACAACAAACAAATAAACAAACAAACAAGAATGTCAATTAGGTATATTGGTACGAGTTTGATTAACTTCTATACAACGATAATTTAAAAAAAATTATACTATAATATCAGATAACTAAGTAACTGTAACAAAAGTGATATTAGTATTATGTATGAGTTGTCAAATCTAGCATCTTTATTGTTTTCAGAGAGAGAAGAAAAGATTTTCTGCTAAATGAGAACATAACAAGTACATTTGCTGACAACAAAAGATTGAGTCATAGACTTTGTACTAGTCAATAATTGGGGCTGCTGGATTTTGATTTGATAAAAATAGCTAGCTCCCTAGAAGAGATCCTAAAGGAGGGACAAATGCTGAAAAAGGGAAGATCATTCGCTTCTCTACTTCTATGTAAAACAAAGTATAGTTCACAGATTCTTCTTGTCCCTATTCCTTAATTCTCCCCTCCCTCTTCTCTCTCTCTCTCCTTTGCTATCCAATCTTAATTAGAATTTAAAAGTACAATTTCACTCAACTTAAAATGCCAATAATAAGCAAAACAATGGACACTAACAGAATGGAATCATTTTATTATTTAATATTTTCTAATTAAGGGAGTTCTAACTTCAAATCAAGAAAGTTTGAACAAAAAGGAGAATTCAGTTCTATGGTTAAGGTCATTGTTAAATGTATACGTTGGGGCAATGGCTAATAGTGAACATCCATTGGCTTATTCAAGTAAACTGGAATAAAGTGAAAAGCAACCGACACCTTAGCTTCTTACAAAAAATGAAAGTGAATGGAGGGGTGGCCCCCCTGTGCTTTTAGGTAAAAACCAAGGGATAATGATTTCAGTTTTTTGTGGAAGAATCTTTGATTGCGAGATCAGAGTGTTTTTTAATCAATGATCATGAAAGATGAGGAGAAAAATCAACAAAAAAATAAAGCAAGTGGAGTACTTGATGATTGGAGGCTATAACAGATTCAGTCTTAGGGAAGGATGTTACTTTTGTCTTACTATCCAAAAGACAAAGTGAAACTATACACTTTTGTCACTCAAGTAACGAATATGTCAGTTAGCTATTTGTTCATATAAAATTAAAATCATCATAAGAGAATCTTATCATATATTATATAATATAACACAAAATAGTAAAAAAGAGAAAAAGAACTAAAGAAGGAAAGAGAAAGTTAGTGTTAGTAAGAGACAAAAGCCCTAGCTTTCCATGCAATGCCATGCAGTCCACGTTCCTCTATCTCTTTTACTATCTCCTTATCAAATTTTAAGTTGTACTATCTTAGCTTATGATCTGAGAAAATGGTTTTTACACCCTTTCCCTTGCTTTTGTATGAAAATAATTTTTTCACTCTTTTGATGTTCTTTTACTTTCTTTTTTTCCCGTGTTTCTCCCTTGCTTTCTCAAATAACTCTTGAGTTGAGAGAGAGAGAGGGTAAATCAAAAGCCAGATAACATGGGGCACATGGTAAAGACATTTAGACATTTAATCTTCTTGCTTTTTATCCATCCTTTAAGTGTAAAAAGAGGATTGATGAGACATATCGAGAGCTAATGCTTTTTTAATTTTCCAGCAAATTACGGCTTACAAAATCCATGCTTTTAAAGTCAAATGCTGACACCTGCGCCTAAGTGATGTTAACGAGTAATAAAGAGAGGCCTGGTTGGTAATTTTTCAAAGAGATTAAAAGTTTTGAAATCGTAATTAACGCATGAGAAAAGGTACTAACAGGGAGGGATTGTAAAAGCTAAATGTAAAAAAAAAATGATTTAAATAAATGTAGACTAAATGATCTAGATCAAATTTCCCATAAACAAGAAAGCGTTTCTTTCTCTTGAATTTTAAAAACAAGACTTAGTGTGCTGATATTTAAACAGTGAAAATTTTCGTACTTGCACAGTATAAAATATATTTACATGATCAATTCACTTGCATGTATCTCTTGAAAAACTAGCATTATTTGGTAATCTCATAAAAATGATAACTAATCTAACGTCACATATTAAAATCCACTTATAGTGTATAAAATTTCACATTATATACAGCTTAAATTCTATGAGTAATTAGTTCTTTTGTAATTTTTTTTCTTTGTTACAATCTCTCTACACGCATTTCCAACTATTTGAATGCTCCAAATATTAACGCAGGAAAATCATCAATAGATAAAAAAAATGAAGATATGGTGCAGAAGAAAATGCAGGAAAGTCGATAATGATGTACTTAAGGAGCCAAATCATACTGATCTCGCCAAGCAATCTTTCAAAACACACATGGTACAATCTGTTTTAATGATTACCTTTCTATTCTGAGTATATTACGAAAAGCAGAATACAGCTTGTTGTTAGTATATAAATAAGAATCACAAAAAAAAAAAAAATTAAAAAAAAAAAAAGAGAGAGAAAGAGTAATGAAGATTTTTCATGGATTATTAGATCGACATTTCAATCAGGACTGCTGTTAACTAATTAAGGTACCTGTAATGATCCCAGTGATTAAATTGGTATATTAATTAATTATAAATTAGAATCACATACGAACTACCTGAATGCTGGAGATTTCGTCGCATTCTTTATCATCCAGTCGATATTCATGCATTACCCAATCAGTCCTAATCCCCTGAGGTGCTCTTCCCCTGTAGTAAACCAGTGTTTTCTTCATTCCAATTGCCCTATTCTGTGAACTTACTCTCCGATCTTTCCCTGTAGATTTCCAGTATCCAGCTCTTGTCGCTCTATTCGTTCTGAATCCATTTGGATATTTCCTGTCCCTTGGACCAAAGAAATACCATTCTGGATCCCTACTTGGCAAAAATGATTTCTCTGCAAAAAGAAAATGTTGCAAGGTACTTTAATTTAATGAAATGATTACATTGTCGATAATCATGACATATTTGACGAAAACTAAAGGGTAGTCAAAAATTAAAGTGCAGCATTAATTGAACTAATTAAACAAATCTATCGTTAATACTGATTGAAAAGGGAGTGTAAGATGAGGAAATTAAATTAACCTGCTAATTCCCAAGGCTCACATTTGTAGAGATCAACTTCAGGAATAATATCAAGTTCAATTTCTTGACCATGAATTTTTCTCTTTAGATAATAATTGACAAGCTCTTCATCAGTGGGATGGAACCTAAAACCAGGTGGTAGTCCAACGGGTGCCATTATCTCTTAAATTCCTCCGCCGCCGTCAGCCACTGCCACCACCGCGAGACTCCCTATTGAATTCAGGGACTTTAGTTTGTTTTAGGATTAGTATCCATCATACAATAATGTATGTCTATATATATATATATATATAAAGAGGGATTCAAAGTCCCTTGTCTTTGATTGAGTCATTTTTTTTTTCCTTCACTTTATCTCTTTTCCAGATTCTCATAAAACGTTTCTCTCAAGCACTACTAGTACTGTCTTCTTTCATACTACTGGTTGGTTAACACTACGTACTACTACTTCTTTAGTGGTTATTTCTGCAAAAACTAGCTCTTTTCACTAAAATATAAAAACTGCATGCGGCAGAGAGGCCAGTCAGCCACCCTTTGCTTTATCTCGTGATGTTTAATGCCTAACGCAAGGAGAAAACATGAAAGGTTATTCAAATCGGCTGTCTCTAATCATGTGCAAATTAATTAATACAGCCTATAATTAAAACTTTAAATCTAGAGTTGTTTCTTTTTCCTTTTTGGTTTGAGCTTCATTACTATTGTTAAATTAGTATAGTGATTACCGTATCATGTGTCGTAAAACGTGTTGGTGTATCTCAAGTGACAAGTGAATTCGTGGATATATAGAGCAATATGTGAAGATAATTAATCAACTTCATTAATTCGGTTCAACCTACATATTGTGTTTTAGGCACATAAATACGTATGGCACTTATAGTTTTTGCTCATACCATGTATTTTTGCCTAAAAAATCATTAAATATATATAAATAATAAATTTTGAATCCATTAAATTAGATATGATACGGTAAAATTATAAATCTGAACTCATAAAATTCAAATTTTGAATCCGTCTCTAGACATATAGGTGTTATAATCGAAATAATCAAGTGTCATGCGGAAGCTAGTAAAGCAAACCTTGAACGATAATAAATCAGACAACAAAATATAAATATACCAAAAGAGACACAAACATTAACGTGGTTCGTTCAATCGATCTACGTCCACAGGCAGAGATGAGCAATCCACTATATAAAAGAGAGTACAAAATATCGAGAGAACAACCTCACGAAGATACAAATACAAATGGGAGGCTAACACTTGTCCCCAAATTCTCCCTCTAAACAAAACTCTCAAACCTCATATGGCTAGATTGTGGATGTTACCGAATAACAAGGAAGGATCCTTAATTTATAGAAGTCCAAACATTTTCCTACAAAAAAAGAGACTAGCCAAATATGAGAGATTTATAATTTCCTTCCAAGAAAAGAAAAACTGAATTATGGTAAATATGTTGTCCTTTCCTTCAAGAGGTAGAAAAACGAAATATGGTAAGAAAATCAGGATAAACACCTAACAATTCTCCCCTTGGCCTGAATTTTCTTATAAAATAAACTTGATCCACCTTTTTCACATAACCTTAAACAGGTAGCATCTTCAAATCTCCATCACAAAATTTGTCTCAACGTAAGTAGCATTTCGATCAAATTTCTCAGATAAAAATTATGATTACCGTTAAATAGATTGCGGCTAGAACTAAACCCGCCAAGATGAACCTGTCTTGAACCTTGCTCTGATACCATTTGTTATGATCGAAATAATCAGGTGTCATGTGAAAGTTAGTAAAGTAAACCTTAAACGACGATAAATCAGACAACAAAAGAGAAATATACCAAAAGAGATTGTCACGACCCAAAATCACGTGGCCGGCACCCGACACATAATCCAATCCGGGTGAACCAAACCGTACAAGAATGCCCATCTATATGCAAAATAGATACATACGAAAGCCTTTTTGAAAACACAATCATTTGAAATGATAAAAACCATACATGAAACAAAATCTTTAAATCCATCATTTTTTTTATAATTGAAAGATACAAAAGAATAATAATATTTCTTTCATGCATGCCATATGAATTACTCTCGATTACAACTCTAAAAGAATAACATTTGTGTATGGAATCTCTAAGACACACAGATGGAATAAATACTTGGGATAAACCCCAACTAAAAGTAATTAAGATTAACATGAAGGCTACCACGGAATAGAAGTGGTGCCTTGCTATATGCCTCGAAAAGAGAGTCATCCAAGCCTCATCTGCCCATAAGGTACCACGTCTCATCCTGAAAATATGTAAAGTAAGCGGGACCCTGGAGAGGGGCCCCTGAGGGCTGAGTACACCACCACGGTACTCAATAAGTATCATAAGCTCTCTCTAACTCAAGTTCTTGGGACAAGGCTTTACAAAAATAATGCAACCACTATTTGATATAAAACAATAACAATTATATCAATTCATGTTCTTTAATTTATCTTTCAAATAAAAAGATTTGAAAAATGTAAATCATGATACAAAATTTTAAAATATTTATATCGACCCATGATTCTAATAAAAATCATGTAAAACCATTTCAACTTCATTAAGTCATTGAAATTCCTTTCGGCTCCTTAGGCCTAAACATAACAAAATTATCTTTTACCTTTTTACCAGGAGTACTATGCCATCACCGACACAAGAAGGTCAACTAGGTTATGTACCTAGCGGCAAGTATCATATACCCTACTTGCTTAGGTCGTCTCATTGCAGTGCCGTACGAATTGAATCATCCATGCTATTAATAGCACAAAATATCACCCTCTTAAGGAGGATACTTTGTCGTAGTCTATACCACGAAGTGACCATCTACGCCTACACCGGCACGTGTAGTTTTATGACGACAAATACGATATATTTGAAGTCAATTTTGGCGAACACACGTAACTCCCAAAATATTTGATACCCAAAAATAGATTCATAGAAAATAGACTCAAAGTATATATTTTATCAAACCATGACGTTTACAGTCAATCCAAGCCTTTTGAACAAAATAAAATGAAATCTTTTCTTATTTCATATTAATCAATTAACAAAATGAGATTTCAATCCTTAAAAATTTAACAAGTGGTACTTCGAAATATAAATATTTTAAAAATATTATATTTCTCATTTTATAAAATAAAGGTAACAATAAAACTCAAATGTTTAATCCCTTTATCATCAACACAAGCTCTTTAATAAAACTTATAACGCTAGTCTCAAGCGTCATTTTATCAACCAATATTTAAAAAAAAGTTTTTAGAAAATAACATGAAACTTCGTATGCAATATAATATGTTAGTACATGGAGATATCCACATCCGCTTGTCCCCATAAGTACGGACATACATACATACATACATAATATATATATATATATATAT